ATCTAATGAATTTTTATATAATATTTAAATTATAAAAAATATTATGTATTTAAATTAAAAAAAATATTCGGAAAAAATATTAGGAAATAATTTTTTTATATATAAAATTATATTATATATAATATTATTTATTTGGAAATATATTTTAAAATTAGAATTAAATATTTGAAATTTTATTATTTTATAATTGTATATATATATATTTTTTCTTCCTTTTCCTCGCTTCCTCCTCCTTTTTTTCTCCTCTAATTTTTCTTCGACTATATCTGTATTAATTTCCACCTGTATTTCTGCCTTGCTAATTCTTCGTTAAGCTCTTTGTTATTTTTTTTCGCCAAGCTCTTTGATAATTTCCCAGCTCAATATACCTGGTAGTACACCGCTGGATCTCAACCTGGAACCTGCCCAGCTCAGTGTGCACCGCTGGACCTCAACCTGGGACCTACCCAGCTCAATGTACACCGCTGGATTTCAACGGCCAGAGAGAATACCAGAAGATATACCAAATAGAAAATTATAAAATATACCGTATATCAGATAGAATGCCAGAAAATATATCAGATAGAATGCCAGAAAATATATTAAATAGAATGTTAAAAGGTATGCCAGATAAAATGCCAGATAAAATGGCAGATAAAATGTCAAAAAATTTTATCAATCAAAATGCCAGAATATTTAACCGATAAAATCTCAAAAAAATTATTAAATAATATGTCAGAAAATATACCAAATAAAATATTAAATAAAATACCGGAAGATATACCAGAACATATGCCAGCAGATATACCAGGTAGAATGCCAGAAAATATACCAAATAGAATATCAGATAAAATGCCAAAAGGTATGTCAGATAAAATATCAGAATATTTATTAAATAGAATACCAGAAGATTTGTCAGATAATATACCATAAAATATATCAAATAAAATATCAGATAAAATCTCAGAAAATATATCAGAATATATATCAGAAAATATGCCAGATAGAATGCCAGAAAATATATCAGATAAAATATCAGAAAATATATCAAATAGAATGCTAAAAGATATGCCAAATAGAATGCCAGATAAAATGTCAGATAGAATATCAAAAAATTTATTAATAACAAAATATATAAATGTCATGATGGGTATCTCATGAAATAAAATTATTAATTATATTAATAATATTAAAATAATATATTTAATAAATTAAAATTAAAAATATTTATAATATATTTTAATATCTAA